GCGTCATTGGTCCAGTCTGTAATTCACTGCTCTCTGATTGGCGGAATCGTTACGTTATACATTAACAGGGCACTCAGGCCACAAGATATAACACTTAGGATACATTATGATCATCCATAATTGTCCAAAGTTTCATTTAGCTATTTTTTACTAATTGATAAATCCTTAAGTCTAAATTACTAACTGATTACTTGAAGCAAAGATATCCAAAGGAATAATTTTATTTTAAATTAATTTTCACTTCATTTTACAACTATGAGCATAATTAAGTGATTAAAGGAAACATTCAATTTATCACAAAATGTTTTTTTTTTCAAAATTACAGGTTCTACATAACAATTCAAAGTTTTTTCCATGGAAATTGCAGATATTTAACAGTTATTCGTTCTAGAAACAGATAAAGAGATAAGATTTTTAAAACAGCTGAATTATTTTATATTTATGAGTTAAACTGTTCTTTTCAAACAAGTTAAATTAGTAAGCGTCCTAATAATTAGGGTTCTTCAGTCGTCAACTCCTTTTAGTTTTATTAAAGAAATTAGTGGCTAAGACCTCAAACAGTTCCATATTTTGTTAATCGATTTAAACAAACCATTAAGTATGTTTCAATCATTCACTTTTAATAAATTATCTTTAGAGCGAATCCATACAGAATAGCCAGGCTACGATTATGCATAAATAAATAGAAGCTTTTATTAGAATTTCGAAATTGTACAAAAAGAAATACTGACCGCAAACTTTTCTGCTAATATTGATCGATTTTAGGTCGAATATAACATTAAACACCTTCGTCAATAAGACAGTTTCATTTTTCTCATGTTCACGGCTATTACCTTACCTTCTGATGTAACCTATATGAACAAATTAACTTTGTTTTGACAGTCACGAACATTTTATTGCCACTCCCAAGACCGTATAAGGAAGGAAGGTTGATCATGGGAGTCAACAACCCCATTCCATAGGAAAAAAACTTGATAAAATACTCTAACCAGAATAAGCAATTTAAATAATTTAAACTCTGTCCTCCGAGTTGAACGATTTACATTCTGAAGAATTATGACGCTTCATGTTGAAAGCCGAAATTCTTCACAAGTCATGAGGACGATATCTCCTCTAACAACCAGAACAACAACTATCATAGGAACGTGGAATGTCTGGACAATGTGGGACACCGACACAACCAGTCATATAGCTGAAGAAACGAGAAGATACAACCTGGTGATTATCATAACAAATGAAACCCATTTCACTCAAACCGGAACGAAAATACTAGATTTGGATGAGATGTTGTTGTACTGTGTTTACAAAGAAGAAGATAAAACACAAACACCGGGATTTGTATTGACAGTGTTCGAAGAATCACGAAACGCATCAACAGGATGTGAATCCTATGGATTCAGGAACATCAAATATCCTTCAAAACAAAGAAAGATAGCGCTACAAAGGATGTTATTTGGTGCTATGCACTCCCTAGAGATAGCAGTGGATATGATGATCAGTTTACGAGAAGCTGCAACCGATCATAGCGAAGTATTCAGGAAAGTACTTTACCATCCTGATGGTAGACCTAAACGCCAAAATGGGAATGGACAACACCGAATATGATGATACATTAGGATGAAACGGACTGACAGGGAGGAAGGAACGAGAATGGTGAGAGATTCGCAACTTTATGATCATTCAACAAAATGGTTATAGGTGACACAATATTCTCTCATAATTGCATACACGAAGCTACATGGGTCCCACCAGATCACACTACAGAAAATCAGATCGATCATATTTGCGTCACCAAAAAATTCAGGTCAGTGGAAGACATGAGAATAAGGAATGGATTTAAATCACCACCTGGTTGTAGTTATGATGCAACTGAAGCTATCGGAGCACTGGACAACTGGACAAACAGTATTACAAAGGTTTACTACATCCTTCATTCGAAAAACTCAACGATTTCAAAATAGCTCTCATAGAGTAGTTACGTTACTTAATAAGTATGTAAAGAAATACCTGTAAGAGTTCGTCTTTTAACATATGCCAGTAGCAGATGGCGGCAAGGATATCGACACATAATAAATATACTACAATTACATTCACAAGCACTTAGATCCACCTCATAATGCTTTCCGCATTCAACAGTAAACAACCAGTCGCCGGTTTCATATTCCAGATGAACAAAACGCATTTTTTAAAGTTCGTATAACACTTTAGATCGTGCGTATAGCGTCAGCATGTTCAGCAACGGAATTAGACGCTGTGGAGCATCATATTTACGCGATCTTCCGGCTATTATTTGATCTTCAATACTTTTCCTAGAGGAAATCATTGCACTCCATTTCAAAGCCTTATACATACATTTGTGCAAACTATCAGTTTTGCGTACATATCTTCCTATCTGTCGATTAAGCGACTCAACACGATTATTCGTGTTGTTACCCAAAGTTAGAACATTGCCATAAAAGGCACGCGCTCACATAGTTTTACGCGACATCCAAAAACGAGATAAGTACTGGCCTATCAGTCTGTCTCTCTGGTTTATTATTCTGAAATATTGATTAAATCTAGTGAATAAATACATTTTAAAAAAATACCTTCCAACCGTTTCTGCGGTTACCAATCGACTCAGGTACGTTTTCAGTATTTTGTCATGTGTCTAACGGCAATTTTATGTAAGCAACCATTGGTGTACCTTTTTGCGGAAAGCGCGAATTACGTGAAAGGCGCACAGAATAATGTCTGCATGCCCGTGTGTGATACGGACAGCCGCGCTTTCTGATCGTGCGCAGTCCATAACAAATGTTTCTGTCCGTGTTGTTGTTCCCATGATTTCTTTGAGTTTGTCAAGAATCCAGGTTACATCTGCACACATTTCCTTTCGCGTCCAGACAAACATTACAGTACGTCCTCGACCAGAATTATCCGTTACAACCAACTGGAATAGGAAATATCTACAAAGTAGAATACAACGAAAAGCATAATCACTTCTTATTATTGGTATTATAAGTAGAATCAATACAAACAACTTCTGGATATTTATTGTACAAGTGTATTTGGTCATAACTACTGAAACATATTCTCGTTACATATCCATTTTCTAAATGTTCCCTTACTTCACCTTTTTGTCTCAGCAAATCCATTACCTGCTTTCGAGTACAACAACCTGAAATATGTTCTTATACACTTACCTGTGGAGAGTTTAGCTTTTATAGTCTTTACATCAGTAGCGGTGACCACCTTACCAGTTCTCTCCTTGACACATTCTATAACTTCATCTGTTGACTGCGACTGCAAAATGACTGGCTTCAAATTCTCTTTCTCTTCCGACGACAATCTTCTTGTCCATGGATCACAAACCATCCATGAACTACTACAAGGATGGTTGTGGAGCATCTTATAGGATTTGATGAAATATCCTTGCTCCTCCAGTCTTACACGGAACTTTGATTGGCAATTAAAGAATTTGGACCTTAAACGTCAGATATTAGGTAAAGTTTTCACGATTTTTGATTCACTTTCAAACTTTCCGATTTCCGCTTATGACCAAATGTACAGTGAAACGTAACAAACAGGTATTTCAACCTGACATCCTTCAGCAACTTGCTTTCTGTGTGGATGTAATGAGTATAGGTAGTCTGAGAAGGGATAAAGTTACTCTTCTATACTTTTTGGAACTCTTTTAGTGCGCCATCAAAGTTATCCCAGCATGCGAAACGCTTGTTCAGTATCATACTTTGAAAGGCATCGCTAAGGTCGACTGAAATGTCACTTGAGCATGAAGCACTACGAACAGAAATCATTAATTATGAAAAAATAATTCCTTGAAAAAGTAATAACCCAAGGAAGTACTACAAATACTTAAGATTTACCGGTGACTTGACATTTCGTTGAGGTTTACTACAGCAGTTGGGACCACAGATCAAATTACGAAGCAACAACGGAGCCAATTCAGTTTCAGTTTCGAATAGACAGGAGGCTTGATGGCCTGTGTCAGTCCTGGCAATGGTGTTCTCTCAGTTGATCCAACTTTCTTTTGAAAGAATCGACGGATGGAGCTTCAACCACGTGCTGAGGTAATGAATTCCTCTCGTTGATGATTCGATGAGAATGTCGATAATCAGCTGACAAGTAGTTTGTTCTGGGCTTGTGAACTTTTTTTGGAGTGATCTCGTAAATTCTCTGTTCTGGAAGACAAGAAAATTGAGGGCATATCAGGTGCGAATTCATCACGAAGCAATTTGAAAACTGTAATCAAGTCGCTTCTAGTTCTACAATATGACAGAGGGAAGAGGTTTAGCTTGACCAGTCGAGCATCATACGGAAGCTTCGCTATTCCGGGAATTAGCTTAGTTGCTGTCCTCTGGACCTTTTCCAAAAGCTCACTGTCTTTTTTTAAGCAGGGGCTAGCCGCTTGTATGCAGTACTCAAGTTTAGGACGTACGAACACTTTATACAAAGTCAAAAACGTCTCAGCGTCGACTTGAGTAAAAGCCCTACGTATTGACCATAAAGTTCTAAAACCTTTGGCGGCTATTGCACGGCAGTGTGCAGTAGTCTTTAGATCTTGGCTAACGATGACTCCTAAGCCATTGTGTCTGGACAACAGGTAGCTCAGTGTTATTCATTGTGTATGTATCTGTACCTTGATGACCGATATGCATCACAACACATGAGTTAGAACTAAATCAACCTAAAATCAATTCTTGTTAATCTATGATTCATTCAGTGTGTATGTTGATATTTAATGTATTAATTAGTGAAGACTGCAGAATTCATTTATTTGTACCATTTTTCAGGAAAATTTGACGCACGATGTTTTGTTTATAAGTTTTACCAGTGCTTTAAATGAAAAATATACCCATTGTGGATTTGAACAAATTTAGTGAAAATTCCCATTTTGATATTTGGTAAAAAAGGAGTCGAGCGAAGAAATCTAATATCAATTTCTTTCCAGTTACTCGATATCATTACATAATCATTGTGTCATTACATACCTATTACGTAACGTAACTACTCTATGAGAGCTATTTTGAAATCGTTGAGTTTTTCGAATGAAGGATGTAGTAAACCTTTGTAATACTGTTTGTCCAGTTGTCCAGTGCTCCGATAGCTTCAGTTGCATCATAACTACAACCAGGTGGTGATTTAAATCCATTCCTTATTCTCATGTCTTCCACTGACCTGAATTTTTTGGTGACGCAAATATGATCGATCTGATTTTCTGTAGTGTGATCTGGTGGGACCCATGTAGCTTCGTGTATGCAATTATGAGAGAATATTGTGTCACCTATAACCATTTTGTTGAATGATCATAAAGTTGCGAATCTCTCACCATTCTCGTTCCTTCCTCCCTGTCAGTCCGTTTCATCCTAATGTATCATCATATTCGGTGTTGTCCATTCCCATTTTGGCGTTTAGGTCTACCATCAGGATGGTAAAGTACTTTCCTGAATACTTCGCTATGATCGGTTGCAGCTTCTCGTAAACTGATCATCATATCCACTGCTATCTCTAGGGAGTGCATAGCACCAAATAACATCCTTTGTAGCGCTATCTTTCTTTGTTTTGAAGGATATTTGATGTTCCTGAATCCATAGGATTCACATCCTGTTGATGCGTTTCGTGATTCTTCGAACACTGTCAATACAAATCCCGGTGTTTGTGTTTTATCTTCTTCTTTGTAAACACAGTACAACAACATCTCATCCAAATCTAGTATTTTCGTTCCGGTTTGAGTGAAATGGGTTTCATTTGTTATGATAATCACCAGGTTGTATCTTCTCGTTTCTTCAGCTATATGACTGGTTGTGTCGGTGTCCCACATTGTCCAGACATTCCACGTTCCTATGATAGTTGTTGTTCTTGTTGTTAGAGGAGATATCGTCCTCATGACTTGTGAAGAATTTCGGCTTTCAACATGAAGCGTCATAATTCTTCAGAATGTAAATCGTTCAACTCGGAGGACAGAGTTTAAATTATTATTATTATTACTCATTACATCCACACAGAAAGCAAGTTGCTGAAGGATGTCAGGTTGAAATACCTGTTTGTTACGTTTCACTGTACATTTGGTCATAAGCGGAAATCGGAAAGTATGAAAGTGAATCAAAAATCGTGAAAACTTTACCTAATAACAACACGAATAATCGTGTTGAGTCGCTTAATCGACAGATAGGAAGATATATACGCAAAACTGATAGTTTGCACAAATGTATGTATAAGGCTTTGAAATGGAGTGCAATGATTTCCTCTAGGAAAAGTATTGAAGATCAAATAATAGCCGGAAGATCGCGTAAATATGATGCTCCACAGCGTCTAATTCCGTTGCTGAACATGCTGACGCTATACGCACGATCTAAAGTGTTATACGAACTTTAAAAAATGCGTTTTGTTCATCTGGAATATGAAACCGGCGACTGGTTGTTTACTGTTGAATGCGGAAAGCATTATGAGGTGGATCTAAGTGCTTGTGAATGTAATTGTAGTATATTTATTATGTGTCGATATCCTTGCCGCCATCTGCTACTGGCATATGTTAAAAGACGAACTCTTACAGGTAAGCTGTATTAACTATGAAATATAAACTGTATAGCTCATCAACTTCTTAGGTATTGCAGCAGATGGAAGTTACATATTATGCATAACTTCCAACATAACACAACAATTGCATTACCGAGACGGAGTGATGAGTATATAAGGATTCTACGAAGCCAAAGAATTAATAGGCATCACATCATTGAGAAATATAGTGAACGTTTCGCGACGGAAGTTGAGAAAAAAGTGAATTATTATTTAAGAATTATTAATAATAACTTGTTTTTATGTTTCAGTATTAATGATGATTAAATAAAGTTTTGCATAATTTTTATTTTCCTCTTATTCCTACTTTCATGGGGATGAATACCAATAATGTTCACGAGTCAGTGTCTGTAAGAATTAAGAAGGAATAAGTGACGCTATTTCCACGTAAAGTCTTACAGATTAGGCACCCACATGACATATTTATCGTCGTCGGATTACGTTTATCATCAAATTAGTATCAGTACCTAAGTAGATTATAATTTCATGTGATTAGTCCTGCTTATAAATTTAAACTTGGTATAAACAAATCTCATAAGACTGTGAAGCGTTCACAGTTATATGATGTGATGTGTCTGTTCTACAGATTACCGATGAATTTCTATTAACGGAATCCGAAATCTCTGATGAATAACATTGTTTGCAAATAAGAGACTTATAGGTACATTCTGTTACCTGCTATTTGATTAACTTATTGAATGTGATACTGCTAACTAAGTTTGATTGTTTGTTTCAAGCCTGATTTTTTGTTTTTCAGAATTGTATGAAGCTGTTGAGGTCCTCAAAGCATTGTGATAATGTTTACGCCGGTGTACAACCTATGGAATTTGTGATTATGGAAGATCATGTGGAAAACCAGTATTCGAGTTTACGATAACTGTGTTTTATATTGCCTACTGACATTTTCATTCACCTAATGAATTATTTAAGGTACAAGAAGGCACCAAATACATATGCGCCACACATACCTCATTTGATATGTGTGAGGGCTGCGATACTGCCCGAGTGCCCAAACCGAAGCAATTGGTTTTCTTAAGGGGCCACACCCCGAGCCTTTGACCTGAAGATCTGATCCACAAGGCAGTGGAGCATCGTGAGGAGATGCAGTCCCATGGTAGCCGGTGACTAACGATTGGTTCATACGCCATTTGTTCGCGCAGGATACTGGAGACCGTGTGCACCATTGGTTTTCGATCCAGTTAAAGCGCCGGACATTCGCTTTTCGTCCTCTCATTTTCGTAGACAACACCCCCGCCACGAGAAGGCAGTGAGTAGGACTTCCCTGGCAGAGGCTGTATACGCGTGGCCATATTAGAGCATTTCGAGAGGGGGAGGGGACTCTACCCACTCTCGGCCATACCAGGGCATTTGGGGGCAATGAATTATTTAAATGTAAATACAATTTTGAGACGTGTCTGAAAGAAGTGCATAAGGTAATATGACTTCTGTGGTTAATGATTATTTCTGTAGTATACGCATACTAAGTACGTTATGTCAGTGTGTTAAAAGAACAATGACGACCCAACTCTAAAGTGTTTTTTCGTGAGATATGTCTTTACATATGGACGTAAACGCAGTTCGTCAGAGTCAGATGCTTGCGTTCAGGATGTAGATGACGATAGGGATCATCATTCTTCCGAAGAGCATACAGCTTCTAACTCACCCCCACAACCTAGACAAAGAAGACGACGTGGGTCATCTACGTATGCTTTACTTCAAGTTAATTTATCCTTCTGGTCGAAATATTGCCATTGTCAATCTGGATTTTGGGTCCGTGCAGTAAATGGTGAGCTGAAAGTCACCTCTATCAAGACCGTGCGCAACCATCCTTGAACAGAAGGATATATATTTCTGTAGATCCTTTAAGACGAAAGTCGACGCCAAGTGAACGCCTATATTTAAGAACGTTTCTATTGAGTAATACGCCAACTCGTAGTTTACGGCATCTGGTTTCTTGGAAGTTTCATAAACAGCTTACCAAGGACGATATCTCTAAAATGCGTTCATAGTTGTACCCAGGTTGTTGAACTCACACTGTAATTAATTGAGTTTAGACACTAAAAATATCAATAACATTTTACAGCGCGTTCAAACAAACACTGAAGTTAAAGTATTCAGTGAACATGGGAACATATCTATGATTATCTTCAGTCGCCGCAGGGAGCAAATAGCTGTTTACCACGCGTTCCCAGAGGTAATATGTATTGACTCGACTTATCAAACCAACAAAGCTGGGTAAGTAACGAATAGTAATACGTTTATCTTAAAGTTTTCCACTGTTCCAGCTAGTGGTGACTGATAGTCTTGGGCAAGGGCACACTTATGTATGCTCTTTGCAGTCAAGAACGACGCGAAGATGTCGTAAAACTATTAGAATGCTTTAAAGATATAATGTGCGGTACTACATGTTGCCCTGTGGTCATATTCTGTATGCACATTCTAAAGATCTTGTAAGTGGAGGTAAGTGTGTGTTCCTTTGTCTCTATAAGCATTGTAGACTTATTTCGACATAGCAGCCAGTGGACAAGGAAATACATAATGGACTTGGTTCTTCGTGCGCTGGACAACATGTCAATCTTTACCGGGAGTGATGATCTGCTAGAGTTCACTAACAACTACCACTCAATCCATACTCTTAGTGAACCCTTGGCAAGTAAACTCATCCGTTCATGCCTCGAAGCATCGGAAGACATGTGCGCACAAGTGATGAGTTCAATCGGTGCTAATGATGAAGCTACATCGTCAGAATCCATTGTTAACACTGACCATAGCTATGCTTCTTGATGACAAGAAGTACTAATACTGTAATATTTTTAGTTAATGGCCATATAAATGAATTTATGTAAAACTAAAAAGATTACAATATTAGAACTTCTTGTCATCAAGAAGCATAGCTATGGTCAGTGTTAACAATGGATTCTGACGATGTAGCTTCATCATTAGCACCGATTGAACTCATCACTTGTGCGCACATGTCTTCCGATGCTTCGAGGCATGAACGGATGAGTTTACTTGCCAAGGGTTCACTAAGAGTATGGATTGAGTGGTAGTTGTTAGTGAACTCTAGCAGATCATCACTCCCGGTAAAGATTGACATGTTGTCCAGCGCACGAAGAACCAAGTCCATTATGTATTTCCTTGTCCACTGGCTGCTATGTCGAAATAAGTCTACAATGCTTATAGAGACAAAGGAACACACACTTACCTCCACTTACAAGATCTTTAGAATGTGCATACAGAATATGACCACAGGGCAACATGTAGTACCGCACATTATATCTTTAAAGCATTCTAATAGTTTTACGACATCTTCGCGTCGTTCTTGACTGCAAAGAGCATACATAAGTGTGCCCTTGCCCAAGACTATCAGTCACCACTAGCTGGAACAGTGGAAAACTTTAAGATAAACGTATTACTATTCGTTACTTACCCAGCTTTGTTGGTTTGATAAGTCGAGTCAATACATATTACCTCTGGGAACGCGTGGTAAACAGCTATTTGCTCCCTGCGGCGACTGAAGATAATCATAGATATGTTCCCATGTTCACTGAATACTTTAACTTCAGTGTTTGTTTGAACGCGCTGTAAAATGTTATTGATATTTTTAGTGTCTAAACTCAATTAATTACAGTGTGAGTTCAACAACCTGGGTACAACTATGAACGCATTTTAGAGATATCGTCCTTGGTAAGCTGTTTATGAAACTTCCAAGAAACCAGATGCCGTAAACTACGAGTTGGCGTATTACTCAATAGAAACGTTCTTAAATATAGGCGTTCACTTGGCGTCGACTTTCGTCTTAAAGGATCTACAGAAATATATATCCTTCTGTTCAAGGATGGTTGCGCACGGTCTTGATAGAGGTGACTTTCAGCTCACCATTTACTGCACGGACCCAAAATCCAGATTGACAATGGCAATATTTCGACCAGAAGGATAAATTAACTTGAAGTAAAGCATACGTAGATGACCCACGTCGTCTTCTTTGTCTAGGTTGTGGGGGTGAGTTAGAAGCTGTATGCTCTTCGGAAGAATGATGATCCCTATCGTCATCTACATCCTGAACGCAAGCATCTGACTCTGACGAACTGCGTTTACGTCCATATGTAAAGACATATCTCACGAAAAAACACTTTAGAGTTGGGTCGTCATTGTTCTTTTAACACACTGACATAACGTACTTAGTATGCGTATACTACAGAAATAATCATTAACCACAGAAGTCATATTACCTTATGCACTTCTTTCAGACACGTCTCAAAATTGTATTTACATTTAAATAATTCATTAGGTGAATGAAAATGTCAGTAGGCAATATAAAACACAGTTATCGTAAACTCGAATACTGGTTTTCCACATGATCTTCCATAATCACAAATTCCAT